AAAGCAGAAGCTGATGATATAAACTGCAGTATCTTTGACACGGTTGTTTTACTGAATCCTGATCTGATGGTTCAGCCCAGAGGATTTCTCATTCTTGGATTAGTTTTATACCATTTTACGACTTCTTATTTTAAGTAACCCCTACATTTCCTTGAGTTTATTTTAATTAAGTTTAAAAATAAAAAATAAAAAAAGAAACTGATAGAATATTTGAAATAAATTGAAATTATTTAATGTTTTAAAAGGATAAGAAAAACATAAAACTTAATGAAGACATGGTATGCATTTAAATACTATGGTAGTCTGCATATTGGGAAAGATGCAGTAAATAAAATATTTTCAGTCCTGGTTTAACAGATTGAAAAGTTGCTGCTTATCTCAGGTTTTCAGGCAGTTGAGAAGCTGATGAGCATTGAAACTAAACTATGCTTCCTTTAGTTTTGTTTTGCTCCTGGGAACACAAAGTGAGCAGCTCTCTGATTATCTGAGAGATCCACATGGTTCACACCTGACCACCAACTCTGGCATATAGGCCTAAATCGATTGATTTAGGGAAGAGTTAATTATTTTAAAATGCACTCTGCATGTTCGGCATTTATTTAATAGATTGAAAACTATAAAGAGAGTTTTAATATAGATTGACAAACAGGAAAGAGAAAATAACCAGCTTTTCTGTGTCCTGCTTAGACATAAAAGGATTTCCTCCACTGTTTTAAGGCAGCCGTAAACAGATTCTGTGATAGATTCAGAGAGGTCAGGAAAATAAAAGTCTGAGTCCATTATGGCTGCTAAGTTTGTGTTTGTTTTGTCATTGTTCTTAAGCCTCCTAGTAAAGTTGAAGGATATTTTTACTTTTTTAATATTGATAAAAAAAAACTACATTTAGACTGAGGTAATTCTGAACCATTCACATATCAGAAACTCTGTGATGGACTAAATTCTACTGCCGATGTTGCAGAACTCTAAAATATCAACTAGGGGGTGATATAGATGTTAAATAAAAGTAATATGAGGATGGAGACTGAAGGAACTCTGCATGCGATCTGTGTTTGATCTGCAATGTAAATACCAGATGACACAAAGAGGTCGTGTTCTGCCAAATAAGAGCTGTACCTACAATCCTGCATGTGAACATTGTGTCCTCTGTGTTCACTTTAACACTAAATCGAGAACACAGCTCCTCAGAGCTGCTAATGTGGCTGCAATGTCCTGATGGTACAAGATGAGAGATGCCATGTTTTTCTGAGCTCTTAGCAACACTTCAATATTCATATTTTCTGTTAATCAAAAGGTAACCAGATGCCAACTTTTCTTTATGGTGATGATCAGTGTCTCCTCTACCAGAGGCTGATGTGTAAAGGAACATGTTGGCTGGTAATGGAGCAGCAGCCTTCAGGTTTCACTCAGAGGAAGCTGAGGTCAGATGAAGATCATGTGGGCTTTTCTGGGGGATATGGTGGGTGTTCAGTCTCACAGTACAACCGAACAGCTGCTCTGTAGCTGCAGCAGGTGCAAAGTTTCATCAGCCTAACATCTGGGCAGACCTTTTTGGCAGTCTTTCTCTCCCTCCCATTTTTTAGATGTTTGCTCCATGCGGGGAGATTAGTCCCCCAAACAGAGGGATGCAGCGGATGTTATGCTGCAGGACTTCGTGGAATGGCATGATAGGAATTATCTTCCCCTCGAGGTGAAATTAGCGGTTTTCCAAAAGCCATTTCATCAAATTATTGATTCAGCAAAGCTGTCTTAGTCTGACCGGATCGAGCTAAAGTGATATAAATTAGCTGAATGAAAGTAGGACAAGATGAAAGAAATGCATTGTTATATAACCCATGACATAACTTTAGGTAGATTGCTGCTCCTGCAACTGATTTGTTTTCTGATGGCGAATTAATGATGAAAGCTTCCATCATCCCAAAGGTCAGCAGTGTTTTCGCATACATTTCTGTGTAATGGTAATCTTGTGGAACTTGGCCTCATTTTTTTTTTTCTTTTTTCCTCAAGGTTCAGGCTTTGCTTTGCCTCGGTTGATTGGAAGCGTGCCGCTCTCAAATAAAAAGACAGATCAAAAGCAGCCGGTAAATTCAGGCCTGCACGTATCTGCTTGTTTTGGATCCAGGTCTCTTTCAGCGCAGTCACAGCTGTGCAATTGGATAAAATAAGCTGACTGGCCTCTTCTCAGACCTGCAAAATACCCCAGTGACACATAATGTTGATTTATTTCATTGGTCCTCTAAGTCGTGTTATCCTTGTAACCCATGTGGCTGTAGTGAATGTTCTCATTTCTTTGTGCCTCAACAATATGGGTGATTGGATTCTGCTGTGGGGGGGCTTTGTGGGCATCTTCTCCTAAAGCCAACCCTAAAAGCTGATCACACCTCATTGACTTCCATTCCAGAAATCAGAATCATGTCAGCTTGCCAGCAGATGGAGAGGCTACTCCATGCATCCATCAACTGATGAGCCGCTCATCCGTAAACATGAAAAGTGAAGTTAACCGTTCAATTTGTGCAAAATAAGAGAGGAAAAAAAAAAGACTTCCAGAACAACTTAAGACATTGTTTTTCCTCTAAAACTGTAGCACTATGAGGAGCCATCTGCAACACATTTCTTCACTCTATCCCATAAAATTCCCCACTTTGGACCAGGATGTTTTGGACAGAGACCAGATGAATTGGTCATGGGCATTAGGGCTACTTTTTGGACACATGGGGCAAGGGTGAGACAGCTAGAGATATTCTTAAACTTGGAATGTGAGGGCTTGTGCAATTTAGCTACGGAGATCAGAGGCTCCCCATTCTGAGAATAGTTTTCAAAATAAAACAACAACAAAAAAGGCTGCTATGTCTCACATTCTAAGATATAAATACCTCAAGAAGATATGAGAACAGTAAATCTGTTTATCGCACACAGGAGGAAAGTTCCTGAAAAACGCTGCAAAAAAAAAAAAAAAGAACATTTCAACATCAAAACTGGCTTTTTTGTTGTACTGTAAATCAAGCAAACAAGGATGTCCATAAAATCGCTCCATCTTGGTGAATCACAGCAGCATTAGCTCAGACATTTAGGCATTCCGTCTCTGTATCTGATCTTATCTGTGCACTGCCGGTGTAAAGATGCATGCATGGTGTCAGGCCCGCAGTGTGAATGCAGGCTCTTATCTCTCCTGCTCCGTCAGCTTTGAACCCAACTTGAACTCTCTGTTTCTTTTCCGAACCCTCTCCAAAGAGCAGAAGAACAACAGGTTGAAAGTGTTGCTCTAGAGAGAAAAGTAGATCATTGTGCAGACTGGCAGGCACGAGGCAACACCAGGGCCCAGCTCTGACAGGTTAACCCAGGTACAATGTTCCTGTAACTGAAGCACGACAGCCTGGAGGACAGAACTGAGGCCTACGTGATATGAACAGAGGCTCTTTGTTGCTTAAATGGATTTGTTTTGACACCAGGATCTCACTGCTGCATGTCTCGTGCATTAAGGGGTAATTAATCTCACCGTGTGATTGCTGTAACAAAGAAGTGAGATTATACTGCATCTACCAGCCTGTCATTCATTGTCATCTTCCTGAGATCAATTATTTTACCCGCTATTATCAGGTTCCCCTCTGCAAACTGAGTGTTCGTCTGATTTGGATCCATCTGGGCGAGTGGAAGTTGTTTTCAGTGAGGCAATGCAGCCTGATCCAGCAGGTTTGTGGCAGCTCCAGGATCAGTTTGCCTCATTATGTTAGAATACACCTACATCAGTGCATTTTTGTTATCTATATCAACACCCAAGACTGGATTGAGACAAAAGTGATGAAAGAAAGTCATCAGAGCCTTTCAATGTTGAAAAGTCTTGTTTCAGACTCAATTTAAACTTCAAAGTGCATTTCCCCACCAACTTCTCTGAGATATTTAAACAATACAAGATAGTATACGGTTAAAGGGGTTTCTGAATATTCTGGGTCTGTTATGAAGTTTCTTTGTGTGGCTGGAAGGTGAACCTCTGGCCCAGTTTTCAGTCCTTTGCAGCCTCTAGCCTCTTCCAGTAAAGCCCCAGATTTAGCCCATGAAAAAGCATTACCACAGCATGACACTGCCACCACCATGTCAATGGTATCTTCTGAGAGTTGTTCAGTGCAAGTCTTTCATCAAAGTCCATTTTTGCTACTAAGCAAAAATAATTCATATATTTTCTGCTCTGCCTCTGCAGCTTGAGGCAAAGTGTCATTAAATACTATCTTTCAAAGCCCAAATTTTAGTTTTAAATCATCATATTTTCTCATCCGTGACTTCCCTGCTATGTATTTCAGGTTTCATTATGCTATTTGTTCAGTATTATTCTCTAAAATATTTCTGAGGCCTTCCCAATTTGTAAAAAGATTGAATTACTCCTATTTGGACTATTTACTAATTAGCCAGGCTAGTATTTAGAAGCATCGAAGTAACAGGGGGCTGGATAAAAAGGCACACAATGTTCCCTCTACTACTGTCTGTATTACTTGTTTTTGATCGTAAAACATCCCAATAAAAACATACAAATTTGAGGTTATAACTTGACAAATGTTAAAGTGTTATAAAAACTTTTGCAAAGTACATTTATAGGCTGACCCCAGAGTCAGATCCTCAACACCTATAAGCCTCACTGTTCGCATATCCACCTGTGCATCTCTGCTTGACTCTGAAACTCATTCCCCCAAGATATCAACATGGTTAATTTACTGGGCTTGGGAAACTCACACTATAAGACCCATCTTTTTAAATTGGCCTTCTCTTTGTGACATGTTTTTTTACCTTTCTCTTAATTCTCCTTTTCTATGCAATATTTTCATTTTTTTAATTACTTTTTATGACTTAGTTCTACAATTGATGTTTAATTTGATGTTGATTGCATTTAAAAATGAAATGATTTTTGATTATTAATGCATGCAAGTACAGAAGAAAAAAGGAAACACATTTAATATACTTAAATACTGATTTTATACTTTTTTTGCACATTAAAAAGCGTTTATAGGTGTAAAACTTTTACTCATATCAGAACTATCAAAAATTGTGTCATCCTCATGCTGCCACCTAGTGGACAGATCATAAACACGCAAGTTTTTGTTTTAAACAATTAACAGGGAAATAAAAAAATAATCAATCCTCAATATCCTTATAAAACCGAATGGTCTTTATTAATAAAACAAAAACTATTTTAACAGTTCTGCGTTTAACTTTTTTTTTTTTTTGCCAAATATCAAAAGACCTTCCAGTTTCTGTATTTATTGTAATTAACCACCTTATAACACTAATTAGTGAGGCACAGAAAGGTGTTGACTTAAGTATAAATAAATGGAAATGGGAATTTCTGACATTAAAGGATAGTTACGGGTTTATACCACTGATTAAAATGTTTCTGGAGACTAATAGAAAGATTAGAAATGAGTAATTTAATAGTAAAATATATTTTTCATCTTCTTCTTAAAAAGTCAGTTGTGTATGATATGATTTTCTTGCAGAGAAAAATAATATAATGTGTTGCTCTTCATTTAATAGCTTTAAAGTGGTGCCTCTCTGCTTCAAGAAACCTCAATCTGCCGACTAACTGACTGACTAAAAGGCGCTCGATCAATCACTGAGCCTGAGCTCCTTGGTTCTTCTTCTCCTGCCAGGACTTCTTCCTCAGCTCCAGCTCAACATCAGTGAATGAGGCTGGGCCCCAGTTAGTGATCCTCTGAGGTCCTTTGTCACCTAAACAAAAAGTCAAACCAGACATCAGCTACTTAATAATCAATATCCACAGAGAGAAGTACTTCTGATGGTTGTTATTTCCTGTGATTCTCACAGTGGAGGGAGAATGAAATGACCCTACCTGGCTGGATGAGACGAACCAACCCCTCATGTTTGGCCACTTTATCTTTCCAAGTCTTAGTCTTGTTTGCTGCTCGCTCCAGTTTTCTTGATACCTCCTTAAGATGAGGAAGATAAGAAAGATAGGTGATTAAAAAAAGGTATCTCCTACGATGAGAAGGATTTTTTGATAGCACCAGCTTAACATAACCAATGATTTTTAAGATAGTTGTAAGTCATCTTTTGGTTCCTTTGAAATAAATAATCTCGTGGGATGGAAGAGTTTGTTCTGCAACCCGAGGGTCGCAGGTTCGAACCTCAGCTACATCTGACAGTCCTCAGGGTGAAAATTTTACGGGCCTTTTATTACATTTATTTCTAATAAATTCTCTGCTTGTAATAAATCCAACTGTTGTAGTTTGCAACTCTGCCACTAGATGTGAGCACAATCTAAACACTAAACCTTTAATTTCAATAAATTAATTTGATTTTTCTTGAAGTTAGAGACATGTTTCATTTCATCTTAATGTATCAGATGTGATTTAGTGGGATTGTGTTTGACAATGATTTAAATGACCTGGTTTATGTTTTACTGAAAACTTTAAGAGGGAAAATACATCTATTGTAAGGCTAAAACATAAGCCAGCCTCTATCTGATGTATAAATCCTTAAGAACCTGGTACTGCTCCAGCGCCCCCTGCCGCTCCCTCTCCAGCCTGTCCAGCTGCTCTGATGCTGCTCGCAACTCCTTCTCCTTGGCCAGCTGCTCAGCCATCAGCTCCTCCTTCTCCGCCTCCGTCTGAGAAAGCTCCTTCTGCTGTTTCAGGTAGATCTGCTCCAGCTCCGCCCTCTTTGCCGCCTCCTCTTCCAATAATCTGTTAAAAAGCAGACATTAAACACTTAAATTATCGGTTATTAATGTACTGCAAGTTCTGAGGATTTATAAACATATAGACTGATTCAAAAGCATGAGAAAATATTTGAAAGTATCTCAAAATGTTTTTATCACTTTAAATTCCTACTAATGAGTTTCTCATTGAATCACCAGAAGCCAATGACCATTAAAGGTCAGTGTAGCTACAGTGGGGCAAAAAAGTATTTAGTCAGCCACCAATAGTGAAAGTTCTCCCACTTACAGATGAGAGAGGCCGGTAATTTTCATCATAGATATACCTCAACTATGAGAGACAAAATGAGAAAAAAAAAATCCAGAAAATCACATTGTCTGATTTTTAAAGAATTTATATACAAAATATGGTGGAAAACAAGTATTTGGTCAGTTACAAACGAGCAAGATTTCTGGCTCTCACAGACCTGTAACTTCTTCTGTAAG